GAGACCAAAAAAAAAAAGTGGAGTGTTCCTTTAACCAAAGTGGTCACAAGAGACGCATCTGAACGCTTGTCAATACCAGGTGGAAATAGCTGGCCTTTGATGCAGCAGGAACTAACCAATAACAGAGCAACAGGAGGCATAACTTCTGGCCCAAAACCCATCCATTCATGACCCCAAACAAGCAGCTGCCTTTCCTCTGAGAACAGCAAACACACTTTAATGGGAAAACAAAATATTTGCCTAGATAAATGCTGATTGACCCAAGAACTCAAACAGAGAAACTTCAAATCAATGAAGCAACAGTTGGCGCCTGTGAATCCTTCATCCAGGCTGAAAAAGCCTCACGATGGCAGTGCGGTTAACATATCAAAGAGCAGTGGAATGTTATATAATTTCTCAAACATCACCCCATATATACTCACATACACTTCTCTTTATGACATCCACCGAGCAGGAGTGCTGACAGGAATGTGTGTGATCTCTGGTTCTGGACAAATTATTAGTCACTCGCTGTCACTGGGTAAAAACACGAGTCGGATTTGGCTCCTACAGACGGCTACTCTCAGAATGTTACGCTCTGTTCCCATCTGTCTGCAGCGCTGTCCAAAAACTGTTCTGAATATCTCAATCATTTCAGGATTGCACAAAACACCTTCAAGCGCTCCAGAAGGGTCATTTATAGAGGTCATTTGTATATTGTTTTCACTGCTTCGCCATATTCACACAATAGTTACAATATGATTCCATTGAAAACACAAAAGGTGTCAATTACATCATCATTTACCATGGTAAAACAAGATGTAAACACTGTATCAAACATTATTTTAAAATATGGAAATATGATTAACAGCTTTGAGGAAAGTTACTTTTGACAGTAATGCTTTACAATATTGAGTTACTCCCCTAAAAGTAACTAGTAGTGTTACTTAGTTACTTTCATGGTACAATACGATACTTTTGATTTACTTTTGCGTTACTTTTTTGACCTGGCTGAGGCTTGATCTTTTTCAGAACTTTCAGGGTGTTTTTTTCTTTATTTAACTGAGAGGCATTGCAATCATTAACACACTATATATAACCTACACCTTCATTTACCTTTTTCTCTTTAATGCATATAAAATAATGAGAACACTTCCATTCCAGAAATCTAAAGCTGTGGTCTGCCATTTTCGTTTCTGTCTGTTCCAGCGGGAGCAAATTCTCTGGTTGAGAGCATGATTACGTTCATTTTACTCCAGCAATTAATTTTGTAAAAGTGAATTCATTCACTGATTCATTTTCTTTTTGGCATAGTCCCTTTATTATTCCGGGGTCGCCACAGCAGAATGAACTGCCAACTTATCCAGCATATGTTTTTTACGCAGCGGATGTCCTTCCATCACAAACATCCACATACACTCATTCACACACATACACAACTACAGACAATGTAGCCTACCCAATTCACCTATACCACATGTCCTTGGACTGTGGGGGAAACCGGAGCTCCCAAAGGAAACCCACTCGAACTTGGGGAGAACATGCAAACACCACACAGAAACAGAAACACCAGCTCGAGCCACTGCTGTGAGGCGAATGTGCTACCCACTGCACCACCTAAAGTGAAAAGTGAATTAATTAAACTAAAAAGTAACTCACATTACATCTTTTAAAAAGTAACTTAAATAGTATTGCTTATTTTTTTAAGTAATGCATTACTTGTTACTTAGAAAAGTAATATTATTGCTTAACTCGCATTAAGCTATGGTCACACTCGAGTTTGAGCATGCGAAATTCTGTAGTACGGCACTGCGAAAAGGGACGGGATTAAACAAGATGATTGGACATTTAAAAAGCAAGCGATTGCTCCATATTTTAAATTTCTGTCCAGAGAGGTCATGTTTTGATCCTCTATTGGTCTCACGCAATTATGTGATGCGATTTCACAGGACAGATTTCACCAAGCTTGAACTTTCCACTGCAGTGAACTGCAAAACTTGTCGCACAAGCTTGCGTTTCCAATCTGACGCATTCATGTGTGTATGAATAGAAGTCTATGGGGAGAAAAGTGCAATGTGACTGCAGCTTCACTTGTAAAGTGTTACTCCCAACACTGATGATTAAAGATAAAAGGAAATATTATAAACATGAATGTTTTTAGTTAGATTTAATAAGATTTTATAAACATTATATGCTATCAATAATAATTATTGTTTAATATACAGTTGAAGTCGGAATTATTAGCCCCCCGTTTATTTTTTCCCCCAATATCTGTTTAACGGAGAGAAGATTTTAGTTATTATAGGTTATAGTTAAACCTAATAGTTTTAATAACTCATTTCTAATAACTGATTTATTTTAACTTTGTCATGATGAAAGTAAATAATACTTGTCTAGATATTTTTAAGACACTTCTATACAGCTTAAAGTGACATTTAAAGGCTTAACTAGGTTAGTTAGGTTAACTAGGCAGGATAAATAGGCAAGTTATTGTAAATTGACGGTTTGTTCTGTAGACTATCGAGAAAAAAATAGCTTAAAGGGGCTAACAATTTTGACCTTAAAATGGTTCATAAAAATTTAAAACTGCTTTTATTCTAGCTGAAATAAAACAAAGAAGACTTTTTCCTGAAAGAAATATTTTCAGACATACTGTGAAAATTTCCTTGCTCTGTTAAACATCATTTGGGAAATATTTAAAAAAGAAAAAGACATTCAAAGGGGGGCAAATAATTCTGACTTCAACTGTAGGTCTCATACTGGATTTCTGGAGGGCCACAGCTCTGCACAGTTTGCTCCAACCCTAATCAAGCACAGCTGATCCAAATGACCACTAGAGACTATTAAGCAGGTGTGAGTTGGAGGTGTTTGAAGCTAAATGCAGAGTTTTAATGATTATCATATTGATAATTGTGCTCTGTTTGCAGTGCACTTTGAAAACATGTATGCCTTTTTGAATGCAGCCATGACTTATGATGAAAGCTTTACAATATATATGCTAAAATATATAGCAAACCTTAATGCTTTTTACTCATGGCCTATATGACATGGGCCTGTTGGTTGAAACATTTCTGCAGTGGTTTGAATGTCAAACTGTAAAATAATAATAATACAAAATCAACAATATCCTACTTAATAATAATAATAATAATAATAATAATTATTATTATTATTATTATTATTGTTAAGTAGGATTTTTTTTTAAATAGCCTACTGTAAATTACAACCAATAATGATTTATATGATGCACGAGATTACATGTTAGGTTTTATGTTTTATAATGGAATATGTAAATATATATAATATTTGTAAAGGAAACACTGGCCCTATATGAGCCGTTTACATATATTTCAATTAATATGGAAACGAGTGCATGTTTTAACCAAAACTAATATTAGATTTTTTTAAATGCGTGTGAGTGTGTAAAACAATATAATTTGGAGAAAGAAATATGGGTTTTTTAATATCGGGTTAAGTAGTTACTCCACCCCGTTTAGAGCGCCAATATGGACGTTTTACGTAATAACTAGTGTGGTTCAAACGATGGATCTGCAACAAAGCAACTATGGTTTTGGGAAACACTTGTCACTACTTCGTTCTTTTCCCAAATGATGCATTGTACTATGATTCAGCCACGAGTTATGTTGTTATTTGGTAAACGCACCCCAGATTAGCGATCAAGTCATTAAATGTGATTATCGGCCGATAACTGTCTCCAGCCGATCGCTTGGAGCATCCCTGATAAATATACAAAATATTACTTTGTAAATTGGAATAATTTTTTTCATTCAGTTTTGTTTTGTTGGGGTCAAAAAAAAAATGAATTGCTTGTTTCTTTCTTTTTTTTTTTAAATAGAAAAAAACTAATATAGACAGAGATGACATGGTGGTGCAGTGGGTAGTGCTGTCACCTCACAGCAAGAAGGTCGCTAATTCGAGCCCCAGCTGGGTTAGTTGGCATTTCTGTGTGTAGTTTGCATGTTCTCCCGATGTTCGTATAGGGGTTCTGCATGTGGGGGGCTTAGGCATCCCTACAATTCAAAGGTATATAGTTGAGTTGAATAAGCTAAGTTGTGTATGAATGCAAGAGTGTGTTTCTCAGAGCTGGAAGGAAATCCGCTGCGTAAAACATTTGCTGGATAAGTTGGCGGTTCTTTCCACTGTAGAGACCCCTGATTAATAAAAAACTAAGCTGAAAAAAATGAATGAATGAATATAGACAGAATTTCTATAGAATTCCCGCATCCCTTCCCATCCCAGTCCCCTGAGGTGGTTCGCAGGATTGCGTAACATTTCAAATCACAAATTACTTTTCAGCTCCATGTTTAATTTACAACTTTCACTGGGACAGGCTGTGATTTGATGAACACGAGAAACTTATTATGACATATTCCAATATTCAGATGCAAATTAACACTCATAAATATCTTATATGTTCTATTTAAATGTTCCAGAACAAGTTTAATCTAAGAACATGTTTGGTTTAAACGGTGGAGCATTTATGACGATAAACGATAAAATGTCGCTAGTAAACACACTCAAAGCATTTTCTTGTTCAACACATCCCATAATTTCTCAAATATTAACCTCTACCAAATAGTATATATGTCGGTTTATGGTAAAAGTAGCGTAATTAATAAATTAAAATTAATAGAAAAGGTGCCAAACAAATGTATTTTTAAAAATATGAAAAGTAAAAATACTTTTTTAAATACTAAAAAATATTTCATATTCTCATTTAACATGTTTTCTTGGTTTTTTTTTTTTTTTTTTTTTTTATAATAAAACCAAAATCAAGTGTAGTAGCCTAGTGCAACAGGGTTTTATTTGTTTGATATTTTTGTAAACCACCAATGCTGTGTGTGTACAGTAAACCATTATTTAAAACAGTCTAACCACGGTTGTGGGATCGGGCAGTCAAATCGAACTTACATTTCAACACACAACATTCAATTTTTGCAACAAATATAACAGCTAATATTCAAACATTTTCATTCAAACTGTACAAATCTAGGACTCACTTTTCTGTAGGCAAGTTGCAGGTAGTTATATGGAATTCTCCTGTTGAAATCCTGAATGACATCCTCGCTGATTTTATGCATGGATTGGGGTCCAATCTTCCCGTCAATGCATTCATTTAAACAGTGCGCCTTATGAAGAATCACTTCAAAAATCTTCTCGGTCTGAAAGCTGTCAAAGCGATTCTGGTCCCTGCATTTGAGTCTGCATGTGATTCTAGTCCGGCGCACTTCAGAGAAACTGTTCAGCGCGCTCTCCATGTACCGCACCACACTTCCATAATCTCCTTTATAAAAAGCCTCCACTCCGCTATCATACAGCAGGTCGAAAGGTTCCAGAGTAGCCGATGACAAAAGCAAAGTCTGGATGATACAAATGAAAAATCCACATGTTCTAGAGTTCATATCCATCTTCTGAAGTGATGGTGCGCACAATAATGCGCTCTGGATGATGAACAAACAGCTCCGATGAGTCTAGTGTGGGATGTTAAAAACGCAGCAGACTAATGAAAGTGACGGCAGAACAGCCCATTTGAGCTTCAGAGACGGGTCGTTGTCACTCATAATGAATGAGAGATTACTGGGGACATTTTTCAGCAATGACCCCCGTCCCTCCCATCAATTCTGAGCGACTCCTCCCCTACAGCCCACACATGGAGGCAACAACAATAGTTTAGTAGGCTGACGACCCCCAGATGTATGACTTTTCGCTTTGTTGAACACCAATATATAATAGGCTGTGGATTTTATCATATTTGAAACAACAAATACTTTAAACATGTTTAAATGCACTCTTTATGAAAAGCTTACGGACATTCAGACAGAATGTTCCAGTGAAATTCTCACAAACCCAAATCCCTCCGACGCTTCACTGACTCCCTCTAGAGGACAGACAACATAATGAAGCTCTCGGTCTAGTTTCTCAGAGGTCATCAATAGTCTCAAAACCTTTAAAACAAGACAAATGACAATATAGATAATAACAATAAGAGTACTCTATTAAAATAGTTGGGTTAACTTAAAAATACCATGACATATAACCTACTATGGGTTATTTTATTCCAAAAAAATGGGTTGTATAATTTAACCCAATGCATTGGGTTGTTTTGATTAAATGTTTTTTTTCATTATATTACTATTGCTACTATTACTATTACTAGTACTAATATTAATTTATAAATATGACTGTGTAAATAAATAACAAACACTACTCAAAAATATTAATGCTTCATTTCCATTACATTTGATTTTCAGACACTTTTGTTAAAACAAATTAAGAGTTACAAACAATGAAGAAACAGAAGAAAGTACAGACAGTTATAAACTGTGCAAGCAGAAAATCCTGTGTTGATCGAGCAGAATATGGAGCTCTGTGTCCTGTAGAGGCTGTCCAGCAGCTGCAGCAGGTTTCACTCATTGTCCATAATGTACAATACATTTTAACCACATCCAAACACTTCTAAAAGATGGTCCTGGATGGTGACACGGACATAAAAAACACGAAAAGGAGAGGTAATTTGATAAAAAAAAATTATAATAACAACAATATTATTGCGTTATAGCTGAATTAAACTTTATAATGCAAAAACACTATAAAAATTCAGTTTGGAATTCAAAATTTTAACCCTCCTATTTGAGTTAATAAATAAATAACCAAAATAAGTAAAAAAAATAACACAACAAAGCACCAAATATTTAAATGGTTAAGTTATTAATAAATAAACTAAAAAAGGTAAAAAAAAAAAAATTACCCTACAAAGCACAAAATGTGTTTAACTCAACCATTGGGTAAATAAATAACTCAACATTTTAAAGAGTGCAGTCTTGGATGGTAAATCGGATATAAAAACACGACACAGAGAGGTAACTTGATTAAAAAAATAACAACAATATTGTTGCGATATTGCTTAAATAAACTTTTTAACGCAAAAACAACATTATGAACACATATTAATACAGCTGTTTTGTGTGAGTTAAATCTGTTGACTGTTTTAAATTCAAATTTTTAACCCAAATGGTTGAGATAAATAACCAAATAAAGGTTAAAATAACCTAACAAAGGACCAAATATTTAACTCGATTAGTTGAGTTATTAATAAATAATCTAATAAAGGTTAAAAAATAACCCAACAAAGCACCAAATATGTTTAACTCAACCATAAATAACTCAACGCTTTTTAGAGTGTAATAATAACAACCAGGGATGGGCAAAAATAAATGTAAATGTTTTAAATTAAAATACCAAATACCTCAATTTTACGTGTATCAAAATAAACAACAAATTACAGCAGCCACACATATATCAAAATAAAAACTGTATTTTGTACTTTAAAAATACTACAAATTACATTTACAACACAATCTCTCTAAAAATGGAGTTGTCTCTTTTAGCAAATAAACTTTTCATATACATCTTACTTCTGCCATGCAACAGGAGTCTGGAGTTTTTGACCAGTCTGTACTGACTGTAGTATTATTAAATATTTATCTCATATTCAATTCTATTCGCTTTTATTTCTATGGTGCTTTTACAATGTAGATTGTGTCAAACCATCTTCACATTGAAGATTATAGTGATTTTAAACAGTGTCAGTTCAGTTTTCAAAGTTTAAGTTCAGTTCTGTTTAGCTCAGTTAATATTCACTGCTGAGAGTCACTTAAGAGCAAATCCATCAATGTGCAGCTCTACAGGACCCAAACCATGCAAGCCGGAGGCAACAGTGGCAAGGAAGTGAAAGATAAAAACCTTGAGAGAAACCAGGTTCAATTGGACTGGACCGTTTCTCATATTGTCCAAACGTCTTGTGCAGAGCTGCAGTCTACACTCAAAAAAAAAAAAATAATAAAATAAAAAAAAAAAATATATATATATATATATATATATATATATATATATATATATATATATATATATATATATATATATATATTTCAAACTGCTTAATTATAATGAGCTGAAACAACACAATTCTTGTGATTTCATTGGGACAACTTAATTTTTTTTATGTTCCATCCACATAAATTTGTTAAAAGTGTTAAGTTAACTTAATCAATTTGTGTTGGGACAACATGCATGAATTGTGTGGAACCCTGTACTTTTTTACAGTGTTGGCTTGGATACAATATAGTGTATTGTGCCACTTTGACATCTCTTCATTAACTGTACACTGCATCTACAGATCAGCTACTGGCATTTGAAACAGCCAATAAAGAAATCACTGCTGTAGGACTTATTTGCATGTTGTTTGTCTTATTTTCTTGACATCTACACCAGCAATCCATCCTAAACTACTATTATTTGTGCAGTTTACCCATTCTCCCAAAAGTGTTTCAGTTCATCTTTAACTGGAAGAGTCTCATTTTGCCCCCTTAGTGAACACTAGTACACAATCTTTAGGTGTTTTATATGTCTAAACATCCTCTGCTTTTCCACCTGCAGCACTGAGACTGAGAATGATTATGAGCTGAAGGCTCCATATCCTGCTCTTAATGACTGATATCTTATTCCATCTCATTAAGCAAAGATGCTGAATTGTACACTATAATTCAGGTCTACTGAATTGTACACCTAAAAGTAAAAACTATACCTATAAACTATAAATACCATCATTTTCTATCGTATTTTGTATGGTGAAGGTCTAAAAAATTGCATTTTGATGTAATTATTATATCATGCACACATTTTTTACCACCACCCCAATCATAGAGCAACCTATAGCAAACCCAAAAGTCAATTTTATCAAATGAAATGAGTGTAGTTAACTCAAAATTTACTAAAAGTTAATTCTACTTATTTGAAAAGAGTTTTGAACTCAGTGTTGAAGGTGATGAGTTTATTAAATACCTCATTACTTCAACTTAAATGAAGTAAGTTCACAGTACTCATATAGATTATTTTTTTTAACTCAAATGTTTGGTAGCAATCGGTTTCCTCAAACGGTTTGAGTTGCCTTAACTTATTAGGTTTTACAGTACTCGGTTGGTTTAAGTTCTCTTCATTTAATTGGGATTTACTTTGCTCAAATTGCTTCGTTTACTCCAGTGGATTAAGTTCACAGTACTTATTAGCATTTTTGAACTTAAATGGTTTGTTGCAATCGGTTTCCTCAAATGGTTTGAGTTACCTTAACTTTTTGTGTTTTACAGTGTAGCAGTCAAATCAGGTAAAGATTATATTAGGAAAGAAAATAATAAAAATAATAATAATTATATATATATATATATATATATATATATATGTGTGTGTGTGTGTGTGTGTGTGTGTGTGTGTATATATAAAACTTGATTGGAGAATGTGTGCAGCCCTGATCTGCGGACAGTGCAGATTCTATCAGCTTTATTGTCTCTCCCTCTCTTTCTGGTCTGCTGTGATCTTAATCTACTCTTCATTAGTCTCTTCCACAGTTCACGAATGTTGTTTGTTTCTATAGGCATATTCATGAATTGCCCAGAGATATTCAAACATGTTCAGATCAGGACTCTGAAATGCCACTTCATTATTTCAGTGTCTCAGCACTAAAGCAACTGCTTTATCTGTTTTGCTGTGAGATGGAGCTCACTGTCCTGCATGAAAACTGCTGGCTGATTAAGCGATGGAATCTGATGGAGTTAGAGACGTTATAAAGATGCAGTTTTCTAGAAATCACACCAGTTTCTCTTGCTATGGCTAAAAGCATCATTACTTTAGGTTTCATCTGATGAACCTGCAGTGCTGTCTGAGGGTTTTAGTCACTTTAAAACAGGGGTGACCAACCCTGTTCCAGAGGATCTACCTTCCTGCAGATTTCAGATGCAACTCATATCAAACACACCTGCCTGTAATTATCAAGTGCTGTTCACATTCTAAGTAATTGGTTCATATGTGTTTGATCAGGGTTGGAGTTAAACTCTGTAGGAAGGTGGATCATCAGGAGCAGGGTTGCGCACCCCTGCTTTAGAACAAAACCCCATCTTACAAAGTCATTGAAAACTGGAAGTTGTGACTGATAGTTAAACAGATTCTTCAAATAATTACATAAATTACCAGCAGATACAGATTAATCTCTAATTTTGATCTCCATCTGCAACACCATCAACCTGATGCCATAGTTAAATAAAATAAAAACTGTGTAGTCAGATGATAAACCTTTCACTAAATAAAATATTGCACGTCATCAAACAAAAGAGCACTGCATAATATTATTATTGTACACATTTTTTTTGTATTTATAGTGCTATAAACAAAGGAGAATTAACAAACAAATGCACACAATGACAAACTTTATTGTGTAAGTTTTGAACAATAATAATAAATATTTAAAAGAGTTAATAATGAAACAAACAAAAAGATACAATGAATCAAAATCTACTCTTCTTTAAACATCATCAAATAGTACAAAATATATAAAATGAATGAAAACTGTTTAAATATGAAAGTCCATATAAAACACACACACACACACACACACACACACACACACACACACACACACACACACACACACACACACACACACACACACACACACACACACACACACACACACACACACACACACACACACACAAAACACATCAGAACATTAGGTCATATCAGCACAATGCAACATACATTTATACTTATCTGTCTATTACAATTCATGTATATTTATAATCCCTAACCAGTGTGTGATGTTCAAATTAAGGTTTAGTCATTCAGATCATCTCAGGAGCATTAAACGTAGTCTTTTTCAGGATTTTTGGAGACCAGGTGCTGGCTGAACTTATTGTTGGATCTCAGACTCTTCACGCTGCAGGTGCATAAAAACACACCTCCGAATAAACAAAGCAAAGATGCGACAAACGCACCAATCAGAGATTTGCCGATAACATACCTACAAAAAAAAAAGAAAAAAACACAAACAAAAAGTAAAAATTAACGATTAACATTTCAGATCCACAAAATAAAACAGCATAAAGCTGCAGTGAGCAGCTTTATTCAAAACAAAAACTCAACTTACTTATCCTTGTCATCGTCCTTCTGGTAGAAATCATCGACAATTAAATAAGTGAACCAGCTGGTTATTCCCAAAGCAAATAGACCTACATTGGGTAGAAGAAAGAAGAATATATGTTCACAAAGCTTATTTAAATAACTCTTTTAGATGTGAATGTATTTCATTCATTCATTTTTCTTCAGCTTAGTCCCTTATTTATCAGGGGTCGCCAAAGCGGAATGAAGCGCCAACTATTCTAGCAAATGTTTTATGCAGAGGATGCCTTTTTCCAAATGCAACTTAGTACTGGGAAACACCCATATGCTCTCATATTTTACACACACACACACACTTATATGTAAATGTATTTTTAAAAAGTAATTTATTAATTTGATGAACAGCTTAACTGTTTTGTATAATTACTCTATTTAAAGCCACATGATCCTTCAGAAATTCTAATGTGTGGATTTTCTGCTCAAGAAACATTTTGTTTTTATTATCAATGTTGAAAATCATTGCATTTTTATGGATGTTATTTTAAATCATTTTAGTTCATTTCAGGGTTTTTAATGAATAAAAGGACATTTTCAAAAGAAAATTAAAAAATATTTTGAAACATTAAATGCTTTTTTATTTTAGAGTAAATAAAATTTTAAAAAAATTATAAATAAAAAGCAGTTGACTAAACCTTAACAGATTTGTAAAATGTAAAGCATTTTTATTCAGCAAGGATACATTTAATTGATTAAAAATGATTGTAAATTAAAAAATAAATGTCATTTTTTTAAAACCTACTTTCTATTTATAAAATTGAATCAGTTTAAATTAGGTTTCCAAATATTTTAGTTAATCCTTTAGGTACCAATTTAGAAATAAAACATGCTAGTTTATAAATGTGTTTTCAATCAATAATTTTTGTTAAGTTTATTAATTATTTATAAAATAAATATATCTGCATTTCTCGGTTTAAAATGTATAGCATTTAATAGCATTTTAATAGCAATTAAAAGCAATAATAGCATTGTTCAACAAGTAAGATACAGTAATCGATCAAAAGAGCCAGTATATTAATTTATTTGAAATAAATTCTGTTGTGTCATAATAAACAGCTCTATGTAAATTCTGTTTCTCTAGATTTTTGATTAGTAGTTATGATATAGTTAGAATTTTGTTAGATTCCATCTATCTATCATAACACATCTCCGAATATACAGAGCAAAGATGCGACAAATGCACCATTCAGAGATTTGCAGATATAAGCTGAAGTCAGAATTATTAGCCCCCTTTTGATTTATTTGTTTTTTGTAAATATTACCCAAATGATGTTTAACAGGGCAAGGAAATGTTCACAGTATGTCTGATAATAATCTGGAGAAAGTCTTATTTGTTTAATTTCGGCTAGAATAAAAGCAGTTTTGATTTTTTTTAAAACCATTTTAGGGACAAAATTATTAGCCGCTTTAAGCTACATATTTTTTCGATAGTCTACAGAACAAACCATCGTTGCGTAGAATGAATTATTAAAACTATTATGATTAGAAATGTGTTGAAAAAAAAAGTCTCTCAGTTAATCAGAAATTGGGGGACTAAAATAAACAGGGGCGCTAATAATTCAGGGGGGCTAATAATTCTGACCTTAACAGTAACATTTAAAGTGGATTCAAAAAATATTCTAGATTTTCCTAAGACAAAAATAAGTGCTGTTTAGTAGTTTTAGAACAACTTTCATAACTCTTTTGATCCACTTCAAACACTGAGTACTGTATATATTAACAATTAGACAACACATTACACATTTTTTAATTATGAAAACAACTTTTACTGGAACAACCCTAAATAATTGTCATTTTCAAAAAACAAAAAACTAATTTTTTAAAATAATTTCTAAAATATGTTCTACATTTTCAAATATTAAAGAAAATGCTCTAAATTGTAATATTTGTATTTACAATTTGGAAAAAAAATATATTAGCAGACCTAAAAAAAAAATCTAATTTTACACAAGCCTACACAGAAAAATCCTCTGAGTAAAATTTACTCAGCTTAAATACAGTAGAATTTAATGCCTCTCTAAATTGAGTTGAAGTTACTGAAGTTAATGAGACAATGAAAGGATTAAGTGACGACTGAGCACTGATGATGAACACCTGCTGTTAATAAGCAGAAACACAGAAGAGAAACACAAAACTACATCTCACTTCAGTCACAGCCTTAGATGAAATCAGCAGAAATATAAAACATTAAATCTCTCAAAATCTCAGCAGGGGAACATTAAGCAACTCCACAAGCAGCAGCTTCGCTTTTTACTAACCCATTTGCTCTTATTTAAAGATGAACCAAATACTCTCTGAACTGAGTACATTTTACACAGAGGACTTTGCTGTGTAATAAATGCAGTAAATCCAAAGGAACCTGGAATTTTCAAGTGCTCTCCACATAGTATTTTAATTCAAAGGAATCTTTTATCGGTATAAAAACATTGGAAATATTTTAACAAAATCACTTTAAATGATCAGTAATATTTAAAATTCATAAACTCACCACCACACACAGAGAGGATTCCTCCAAAGAAGGCAGTTCTGTCCTTCATCGTCTCATTGTCGTCTAAAAATTTTGTGCATCTGAGTCCAGAAACAGCTACCAGAACAGCAAAGCTTGACAACACGATGCTGATGATCATGAATACTCGACTCATCCGAATTTCAACTACAACAAGCACACAGCACACATATAAGAAGACATGCATATAAGAAACCGAATGTCTGTTTCATCCATACAGTAAATGACTGATACTTACAAGTTTGATGAAGGAGAGAATTAAAATTGGTGCATCGAACATGCGACGAACTGTCGACTGAACACTGCATCCACAGTCCTTCATATTTCACCAGAATCACAGACTTGTCATTGTCGTGTCCGCTGATTTTCCATTCATTCGTAAATGTGCCTATAAGCAGGCCACATAATCCAGCGATGGTCAAAATATAACCAAAGAGTTGAAAACCCATGTTTGAGTAAAATAATCAAACAACGAGAAGTAAATGTTTCGGTCAGTAGTGTTTGTCCACTGAGGCTCACCAATGCAAACTGAGCATTGCAGGCTGCTATTTATCATCTGAAGTAGGTGTGAATCATTCATGGACTGGACATTGGGTCATATTTCAATAGAATTAGTAACTCTGATCTGGAAATATCTAGTTTGAGCTTAACAACAAAGTGTTGGGGGTTGAAACAGTAGGTTATTGGTTTGATTCCTATTATTATTTAGGGTAAAGTAGATGTGTAAATCATTCATGGGCCGGATGGATCCATGAATTATTTATTCTGAATATAGAATGGTTGGGTTGAATCATTTATTGTCAGGACATCGGGTCATCTTTGGAATTTTTTTGAGTTTCAGGTGTGATGGTTGAAACCTTTAGTTGAAAATCAAACAGTAGGTTGTTGGTTCATTTCCCAAAATGAAGCAGCTTTGGAAAAAGCATTGTGAAGTACAGTTGTTATGAATAATTTATAGACTAGACGTTGGGTCAGATTTCAATAGAATTAGTAGCTCTGATCTGAAAATATATAGTTTGAGTTTTTTTTTTTGAGATTTTTGTATGGGGCTTGAAACTTTTGATAGAAAAACAGTAAGTTGCTGGTTCAATTCCCCATAAACAGAGTAGTTTAATAAAGCATTGTTGGTTTGAATCATTCATTGTCAGGACATGTGGTCAGATTTGGGAAAACAAATCAAAGTGGAACTTATTTATGAATTTCAGGTATGGTTGTTGAAATCTTTAATTGGAAAACAAACAATAGGTTGCTGATTCATTACCCAAAATTCCAAAATTTTGGAAAAAGCACTGTGAACTACAGCAGGTGTGAATCCTTTATGGACTAGACATTGGGTCAGATTTTAAAGGAATTAGTCTGATCTAAAAAAAATTAGTTTGAGCATATTTTTGAAATTTATGCAAGCGGGTTGAAACTTTTGATTGAAAAACAGTAGGTTGCTGGTTTAGTTCCCCATAATCCGTGCAGGCTATTAAAACATTGTCATTTTGAACCAATCACTGTCAAGACATCGAGTCAGATTTGGAAAAAATCAAAGTTGAACTTTTTTTTTTTTTAGGCATTGTGGTTAAAACCTTTAATTGGAAAACAAACAGGTTGTTGGTTCATTTCCCAAATCAAAACAATTTTGGATAAAGCATTCCAAAGTACCATAGGTGTGAATAACTTATGGACTAGTCATTGGGTCAGTTTTTTTAATAGAGTTTGTAGCTCTGATCTGAAAATATCTAGTTTGAGATTTTTTTTTTTTTTTTTTAGATTTTTTGTATGGGGGTTGAAACTATTGATTGAAAACCAGTAGGTTGCTGGTTCAATTCCCCATAAACAGTGTAGGTTAATAAAACATTGTAGGTTGAATCATTCATTTTCAGGACATTAAGTCAGATTTGTCAAAGTCAGATTTAGGCAGGAAATGTGAACTTGAGCTTATTTTGAGTTTGAGGTGTAGTGGTTAAAACCTTTAAATGGATAAGAGTGGGTTGTTGGTTTATTTCCAAAAATGGAATTTGGATAAAGCATTGTGAAGTACAATAGGTGTGAATCATTTATGGACTAGACATTGGGTCAGTTTTAATGGAATTAGTAGCTCTGATCTGAAAATACCTAGCTTAAGCTTATTTTTTGAGATTTATGTATGGAGCTTGAAACTTTTGATTGAAAAACAGTAGTTTGCTGGTTTAATTCCCCATAAACAGTGTAGGTTAATGAATCATTCATAGTCAGGACAGTAGGTCAGATTAGCAGAAACTTAGCAGATCTGGGCAGGAAAAATCTAACTTGAGCTAATTTTGAGCTTCATGTGTAATAGTTGAAACCTTTAGTTGGAAAACAGTAGGTTGTTACTTCAATTCCCCAAAACAAGTGTGCAGTACTGCACTGCTGAAGTAAAGCAGGTGTAAATCATTTATGGACTAGGCATGGGGTCAAATTTCTATAGAATTTGCAGATATGGCCTCAAAAAAAATTTAACTTGAACTTATTTTTGAGTTTTATAGAGTTTTATTTTTAATCAGATACAGTGTGGTTGTTGGTTTAATTCCCAATATTAAGTTATTTGGGATAAAGTAGGTGTAAATACTTAATTGACTGCACAGGGCCAGATTTCAATGGAATTAGCATCTCTGATCTGAAAAAAAAACTGTATTTTGAAGCTTTTGATTTGAAAATAGTAGGTTTTTGGATCAATTCTCAAAATTAAGCCATTTTGAATAAAGTATCATGAAGTTTTAATATTATGTTGAAAGGACATAAAATTAGTAAATTCGGACCAAAAAAAATCTAACTTAAATAAGTTTTATATGTGTGGAGATTGAAGTTTTTAATTGGAAAATGTTGTTGGTTCAATTCCCTTTAATAAGACATTTTGAATAAATCTAAACAAATGTATTTTAAGTAACCAATTGACCATTTATTTTGATGAATGAACATGTTTATAGGGAGGATGCTGAAAAATGTTTCAAAACACACAAATCAGCACATTACGTCTGATGATGAATGCATCATGACTATGATAAGTTGTTAAACTAACACCCATTTACTTACAAATACAAAAAGATGTATTTATAGTCTCATAATCTTGTGATGCTTCCTCCTTTTTTAAGGGTTGTGACTCTGACAGGAAACAAATGGGTGTGATGATGGACACATGCCGGGAAGGTTAGCTTTTGGTCATCCATTATAGTAACATTGAGCAACAATATTTCATGATTTTTAAACATTTATTTCAAGGATCATAATGTTTAAGGTTTTTTTATTTATAATTATTAATAAATATTAAGAGTTTTTCCTTTTTTGTTGAATGAAAGTTTAAATTGTCTGGGGAGAATATTTTGCATAACTTTTATAATTTTTTATGTAAAGATACAAAGTTAAAACTTTAGCAATGATGTATACACATTACTATTAACTATATTTGTATTGCAAATTTTCTAAATAAAAATGTATATATATATTTTTTTCGTGTAAATGTATCTTAATATAATACTTTTTTCAACACATATTGAAGTAAGTATTATGTTCAAAGAAATGGAAAGAAATAAAATGTGCCAACAACACCAATGTTTGTTGTATGTTTTGGCTCTCACACAAAAATGTTTTCCAGTTTTCGAGCTGATGAGTGTACAAACACTTTCTGCTTTGTTTCATTGCATGAGTCATGTTTTGCTGTACTAGATTATGATTCTGATGAAAAGAAAAGCCCTTATTTTCTCAATATGCTACATGATTTGAAATTCCATTAATGTTTTAGGGCACAAACACCCTAGTTAATATGTTTTTTTTTTGTTTTTTTTTTAATAAAGAAGTTATATATTTAATGGTGCATATTGGCAGAGTCTAACGCTTTCCTATGGTTCCTCAATATACCTTATGATTAAAAAGCAAAATGTCAGTACTGAATACTAAAAAAAAATCATTAAAGAATCAACAAATAAATTTCTTCATTTAATGCTTTATTAGAGTTTAAGTGCTTTAGAGTGGCTGAATTCAATGAAAGTTAATCCCATTATATAATAACTATATGCCCATTTGTACTTTATATTTTACCCATATCATGTTAAGTGTAAGCGTTGATTTTAATGTTTCAAATAATTTTTGTGAAAGCAATTTTTTCAAAATATATGGATGAAATTCATCATTCACCATAACAAAAATTAAACAACATACTTGGTTTGACCTGTACTGAAGATATAAAATAATAAGTGATCCCAATCAATTTGATTAGACAATAATGAGCAAACATTTGAAGGAAATGGCTAAATATTTAAAATCAGATTAAGATTTAAAATAACAATAAATTAGTATTTTGGTGCTCCACTGTGAACATTTTCATCAAATGATTTTTGTTCTAAGTTTGACCAATGCCTTATTTGTTTGGTATTATATACTGTAACACTGAATTATATTTTAGTTGAAGTATTCTGTGTCAACCCTAAAAAACTTAGGGTTGCACCGATATGAATTTATGAATTTGCCAATAGCTAATACGCAAGCTGGTAAAAATCAGTATTTCTACTTATTTCTGAATGATTGCAAAAACAAAAGGCAAACACAACAGATTTTATTTTAAAACATTAACTTCAGAAAAGTTTGAACTGATCTCTGAATTTAATAAATAATCTACTATTAATAACTAAACATTAATATAAATTTCACAAGATGGTTTTAATGTGCTTAACTGTCATAATTAGCATCTTAATATCCTAAAAGTTTTAAATATTTTAATTAAAAACAAAACAAATGTTTGTACATTTCTAAAGCTATATGTCATATTTGCATCCAATTATAAAAAAACAAAAAAGCCCCAAATGAATTACCGCTTATGCAAGGTGTTTCTAATGCACTGTCAGTATGAGCAGGACAGTAAATTAGACGTGTTCTCTCTTCCAGTCACACTTTTTTCAAAGTCATGAAAACACTATAGTGAAGTTTTTCTTTTATTATTTGAGCAAACAGAGATACAAAAAATAAATCAATAAAAAATTTGGTTCCCCCATGTACACAATTTATCGGCTTTATCAGCCTAATTTTGTTACCGGATAAATAACGATAACATTAAAAATAGCATTTGTATGGCCAGCAATTTATTGTCCACCTCGAAAAAATGAATATGATTTTTTTCTCATTCTAATGTAAACACAAACACAAACACACACACACACACACACACACACTGAAAGAGAATGCAGTGCATCTGAAAGGTATTCATAGTGTTTCACTTTTTCCACATTTCTTTATGTTACAATCTTATTGCAAAATGGATTTAATTCATTTATTTCCTCAACATTCTACATACAAGACCCAATAATGACCATGTGAAAAAAATATTTTTTTAAATTGTTGCGAATTCATTAAAAATTAAAAAAACAGAAAAATCACATGTACATGAGTATTCACAGCCTTTGCTGTGAAGCTCTAAATTGAGCTCAGGTACACTCTGTTTCCACTGATCATGTTTGAGATGTTTCAGCAGCTTAACGAGTTCATCTGAGGTAAATTCAGTTGATTGGACATGATTTGAAAAGGCATACACCTGTCTATAAGGGCCCAGGGTTGACAGTGCATGTCAATGCACAAATCAAGCATGAAGACAAAGGAATTGTCTGTATAACTCTGAGACAGTATTGTCTCGAGGCACAAGGACAATGACCCAAAGCACACCACCAAAATATCAATGGAGTGGCTTCACAACAACTTGTCGAATGTCCTTGAGTGGCCCAGCCAGAGCCCAAACCTAAATTTTATCGAAATCTGGAGAGATCTGAAAATGGCTGTACACCGTCAATTCCCATC